GCATGTGGTGCTGGGGGATCGAACCGCGGTCCCTGTGCTTTGCCAAGCTTGTTCCAAGTAGGTGCTTTAAACCACTGAGCCATCTCTCCAGCCCCTATCTACCTTTCTACTAGCTACTTGGATTTGTGTTACGAAGAGTCAGCATAATATATAAGTCAGATTCGCCACGCAAACACGGAAAATGAAAGAGGAAAGGGCAAAGTGCACTGACTATTGAAACTACTTACAATTCAGGATCCAGTGTGTCATTTTTTCTCTTGGAAAACTGTTCTTTATTTATTGTACTAAGGAAAGAAAAGGAATACTGTTACAAAAGCAATAAAGACGAGCAATCTAAGTACTGTTCTACTTAAGGGAGCCAAACTCTGTTAAGTGAGTTCTTTAGATCCTCTATTAGGAACAAAGGAATGTTCTACAGTTTTTATAATGAAGAGATTTTTCTTAGAGCAAGTGCAGAATCCAGGTAAACAAGAAACATTTGCTGTAATGTGGCCTTTTATGCTACACAAATTTTTGTGGTTTAATTAATTCCTCTATTGAGGAACAAAAGATTTTACATAGTGCAAAGTAAATGATGATTCAATATTCTTTTCAGCAGATTCTCACCAAACAGAATTTTATGTCAAAGAAAAATTTTAGCATTAAAAATACAGTAACTGAGCAGGACTGGTTCCAGAACTACTGTCAACACTACACTTTACAGATGCTCAAGTCCTTTATTTTTGATCCACTGTAAAAATGAATTTAAGGTACACATTTACGGTTTTCATAGCTTAATAAGGCCTTTTTTTTTAATGTGTGTGTGTGTGTCCATCTCAGCCCACCAGAGGGCGGGGCTGGCTGGCATGTGGTGCTGGGGGATTGAACTGTGGTCCCTGTGTTTTGCTAAGCTTGTTCTAAATAGGTGCTTTAGACTACTGAGCCATCTCACCAGCCCCAATAAGGCCAATTTTGAGGAACAAAAGTTCTGTATTTCACAGCATAATTTGAACAACTTCCTATGGCTTCCCA